CGCACGCGCACACCCACACGCACGCGCACACGCACACGCAAACGCACACGCGCACGCGCACGCGCACGCGCACGCGGACGCACGCACGCACGCACGCACACACACACGCACACACATACACACGCACGCACACGCTCACGCATACAGACACACACGCACACGCAGACGCACTAGCACACGCACAAGCATTCGCAGACGCAGACGCACACCCATACCCACGCACACACACACACCACACACACCATACATACAGCACACACAACACAAAACACACACACAACTCACACACACACACACACACTTTACACACACGCACACGCACACGCAAACGCTCACGCTCACGCACACGCACACCAACACACACACACACCCACACGCACACGCACGCGCACACCCACACGCACTCGCACACGCACACGCACACGCACACGCGCATGCGCACGCGCACGCAAGCACGCACGCACGCACGCACACACGCACGCACACACGCACACACGCATACACACACACGCACGCACACGCTCACGCTCACGCTCACGCTCACGCACACGCACACGCACACGCACTAGCACACGCACAAGGATTCGCACACGTACACGCACACCCATACCCACGCACACACACCACACACACCATACATACAACACACACAACACAAACCACACACACAACTCACACACACCACACACACAGGCGCACACGCACACGCAAACGCTCACGCACACGCACACGCACACGCACGCGCACACCCACACGCACACGCACACGCATACGCACACGCACACACACACACACACGCACACGCACGCGCACACGCACACGCATACGCACACGCACACGCGCACGCGCACGCGCACGCGCAAGCACACGCGCACACACACGCGCACACACGCGCACACACACGCGCACACACTCACGCGCACACACACACACGCGCACACACAAACACACAAACACACAAACACAAAGAACACACAAACACAAAGAACACACAAACACACAAGCACACATCTCAAACACACAAATGCACAAACACACACAGACACACAAACACACAATCACACACGCACGCAAACACAGAAATACACAAGCACCCAACACACACATAGATAAACACACAAACGCACAAACACAGACGTACACACAAACACACAAACACGCAAACACACAAACGCACAAACGCACAAACACACAAACAAACACACACACACACAAACACACAAACACACAAACACACAAACGCGCCGACACATACAAACACAAGCACAAAGACACACACACACAACCACAACCACAACCACAAATACAAACACACAAACATACATACACACACGCACGCACGCACGCGCACGCACGCACGCACGCACGCATGCACGCACACACAGACACACACACACACCACACATACACACCACACACACAACACACAACATCCACACACAACACACACAATACACAGCACACACACACACGCACAGGAATTCGCACACACACACACGCACACGCACACGCACACGCACACGCACACGCACACGCACACGCACACGCACGCGCACACGCACACGCACACGCATACGCGCACACACGCGCACACACACGCGCACACACACGCGCACACACAAACACGAACGCAAAGCCGCGGGCGGGTGCAGCGCCTCGCCGTCCAGCCCGCGCGCAGGAGAATCGCGCGCGCGCCCAGCAATCCGAGAGAAGTAAGAAAAGAAAGAAGCCGCCGGCCCCTCACGGGGCAGTGGCCCAGAGCAGCGCAGAGGCGCCAGGGGCAGCGGGCAAGCGGGCAGGCGCGGGAGAGCAGCGGGAGTAGCATGGTGGCCGCCGCAGGGCGGGCGGCCAGCGGGCCGGGAGCGGGGCAGGGCAGGCGAGCAGCAGGGAGCCGCCGATCAACGGCAGCGGAGAGGCGGAGAGCCACGGGGCCGGCGGCGAGGGGAGCCACGCCAAAGGAAGGCAGGCGAGAGGCGACGCTCACACACAAACGCAAACAGGCACACCAACGTCCCCCTCCTCCTCCTCCTCCTCCTCCTTCTCCTCCTCCTCCTCCTCCTCTTCCTCCTTCTCCGTTTCCTGCTCCTCCTGTTCCTCCTGCTCCTCCTCCTCCGCCTCCTCCTCATCCTCCTCCTGAGCCTCCTCCTCCTCCTCCTCCTCCTCATCCTCCTCCTCCTCCTCCTCCCCCTCCTCACCGTCCCTTCTCCTCCTTTTCCTCCCCTTCTTCTCCTGGAGCGCGTTCTGAGCAGTTGAAGCAGATCAAGCCGTGGCGGCGAAGGGCCCGCCCGAAGGCCCAGGAGAGGACGAGAAGGGCGAACCGTAGCTGAACAGAAATGAAAGATCGTGGTGCGCGCTGCGTTCTAGAGGAGGAGGATCTGCAGGAGTGGGTGGAGGATGGGACGTCGATCCAGAACCTCGATCCCCCATTCCTGAGACAGTGGGGGGGGATGGCGGGGAGAAGGAAGAGGAGGAGGAGGAGGAGGAGGAGGAGGAGGAGGAGGAGGAGGAGGAGGGCGCGGCGCGCGGGAAGGCGGGGCGCGCGCGCGCCAGAAGTAGACGCAATACGCGTAGAAGAACACCGCGACCGCGCCCCCCGACCCGAAGGAGCGCCACCACCAGTGGTGGTCCTCTGGGGGCGGGCGGCGGAGCCAGCTGCTCGAGCTCCCCGGGAGGACGGAGCGGGCGGACTCTGAAGCTCTGTGTTCTCTGCTGTTTTGCTGCCTGCCTGCACGTGTTCCCCACTCTCCGTGTTTCCGTGTCTCTGTCTCTCTGTCTCTCCTCTCCTCTCCTCTCCTCTTCTCTGCTGTTTCTTCTCGCTCTCTCTCTCTCTCTTTCCCCACAAACTCTCTCTCTCTCTCTCTCTCTCCTTATCATATCCTCGCTGACCAACCTTTGACCTTAATGGTGTAGTTAAGCAGAGTCACTTCTCTTACCTGGTATTTCAACAGTGGATTCTCTTCTCTTCTCTCATTTCCTCTTCTCTTCTCGTTTCTCCTTTTCTCTCCTCTCCTCTCCCCCTTCTCTTCTCTCCTCTCCTCTTCTTCATCGTTCTCTTCCTCTTCCTCTTCCGTTTCCTTTTCCTTTTTTCTTCTCTTCTCTTCCCTTCCCTTCCCTTCTCTTCTCCTCTCCTCTTTCTTACTCCAAGAGCTCGTGCCGCTACCGAATACCATGAGGCAGCAAATGACTAGGTTGCACCGTCGTCGTCCTCCTCCTCCTCCTCCTCCTCCTCATTACTGGGGTTCAAATGTTGGGCCAAGGGCGCTGCATCCCGCGTTCTCGTTCTAGACGGGGGTGTTGGCATCATGGCCGCGGCAAGGGGCGGGTGCCTGGGGAAGACAAGAGCCGGGATGATCGGTTTTCTGGGGAACGCAAGAGGTTGCAAGGCGCCCTTGGTGAGCACGAAAGCAGCAAGGACCACTACATGCTGCAATTGCTGCAGCACCGCGCGGCGTCGCCCGCTCGGGGAGGCACACGCAGTTCTGCGACCGCCGTCGTCTGGCGTATTCGGGCTTCACTGGTTGTCTGCTCGCGTCTCGCTTTAGCAGTGGAAGCGAAGCCCAACGGCACCGCGAGAGACGTGCAATGCAAAGCCCCCTGCGTAGAAAAACAAAAAAGGCACAACCTCGATTTTCGGAGATCCGCGCGGATTTCTTGGGTCGGCGCTGCCTCTGGCGGCGCCTTTTGCGCGCTCCGCGCGCTGAGTAAGGGGTGAGGGGAGGGGGGTCCAGCGCCGAGCCAAGAAATCCGAGCGGACCTCAGACAATTACAATATGTGCCTCTTGTTGTTCTTCGACTCTCGACGCTCGCCACGCCAGGCTCGTGCGAGGGGCCTTCAGGGAGCTCCTCCCCGGCGCTCAGGCGTCTTCGCACCAGCGGTTCTCCTCGCGCACCTGCGCCTCCTCCTCTGGGGTGAAATCGTTCACGATGTTGAATTGCTTGCGGATCTCCTCGGTGTTCTTGCCCTTGATCATGGAAGCGACCTATGGCGGAGGTCCACTCGCGGAGAGCGATGAGGATGATGACGAGGAGGGTCGATAGTAAGAGCACCTCTCAATTGATCATTGTTATCACAACTTTCACTTTGAAAAGGCGGAGGAGGAGGCGAGGGAGGATACACGTGTATATATATATATATATTTACACATACATATATATATGAAATGTAAGCAGAGAGAAAGCGATATAGAGAGAGAGAGAGAGAGAGAGAGCGAGAGAGAGAGAGAGAGAGGAAGAACGAGTGAGCGCAACCATACAGCGACGGGCTTCAGGGATGAGGAGGAGGACGAAGAGGAGGATGGGGCCTGGAAATTGGTGTCCCCGCACGCGAGGGGGGGACGGCCTCAGCCCGCTGGCCGCGCCGCGGCCTGGCGGGCGCGAGCAGCCATGGCTTGGTCAGGGCACGGAGCACCCGTCTGGTGCGCGAGGCCCTGCTGTGATGTGTGCGATGACGTCTGACCAAACCAAGGTCCAAGGGAGCATGACAAGCACGCACAGCTAATCAACTGGCCGCCCCGAGGCTAGTTGATTCGGACCCCCCAGCGGCAAGCTGGGTACATCATAGAACTTCAGGCCCAGCTCGCTTGGTGGGAAAGATGGTGGCAACAGCAGTGTGACGAAAATTGAGACAATACCCTTCTCAGCGCCGTCCACGCTCATGACGACGATGGGACCTGGGCGCGTACGCGGCGGACGTGAACACGGACGAGGCGGAGGTGAGCACGTACGCGACGGCGGTGGGCACCTACGAGGCGGACCAAAGCACCCTCGTGGCGGAGCTCAGGACGGAGGTGGCCACCTACGAGGCGGAGGTGAGCACGCGCGAGGCGGAGGTGAGCACCTACGAGGCGGAGGTGAGCACGTACTTGGAGGATGTGGGCACGTACGGGACGGAGGTTAGCACCTACGAGGCGGAGGTAAGCACGCGCGAGACGGAGGTGGGCAGCTACGAGGCGCAGGTGAGGGAGTACTGGGCGGAGGTGAGCACCTACGATGCGGAGGCGAGCGCCTACGAGGCACAGGAGAGCACCTACGAGGCGGAGGTGGGCAGCTGCGAGGTGGAGGTGCGCGCGTGAGAGACGGAGGGGGCCACGCATGTGGCGGAGGCGAGCACCTACAAGACGGAGAAGGCGCCGAATTACCGAGGTCCGGCTCCCTTGAGATCCTTGCGGATGTCATCAGGAATGCCAAGGGGAAGGGGAACGGCCTCTTCGCTCGTCGGGGGAGGGCCGACGAGGACTTTCAGGACGACGACGACGACGACCTGAAGGAGGCGAATGGAGGCTACTACATGGTACTCGAAAGACATCGGGCTTGCGCGAAATCGAGCAGGTGTAATTTCGTCAGAGATTCTTCGAATATTACAGTCGGGGCGTTGACCTAAGGAACCCTAAATAAGGAACGAGGCCCCTTTTTCCCATGAGTTCAACCTCGATTTCCGATGGAAAACCTCAGGAAAACCCGAGGCAAACTTTGAAACAATCAAGGAACACCGAGCCCCTCCCCAACGAAAAGGGTTCCTTCTTCAAGACCCCCACTGTACCGGAGAACCGAGCCTGGGTGCAGCTTCCACGAGGCACAGGAGAGGCCCGGCCCGAGGTGGAAGCGGACTGCTCCGAGGCGCGCGCAGCATCGACGGGGACCGCGGCAGGGCGCTATACGCGCGCGCCGAGATCCACCACCACTCGTCCGATTTTAGCGGGGCCCTCGTTGGCATCGAGAAATGCATCGCTCAATAGGACGACCCCAGCGACATTGATCCCACGCTCGTGGAGCTCAAGCGCTGCATCGAGGCAAAGGCAGGCCACCGTTACACGCTCGGTGCCAGGCGAGGAACACCCCTGGCTAGCAGGGCGCTTTCGGCGGACGCAGACGTCGATCCCGAAGGGAAGGGTACGGCGACAGCGAGGCGCGCGACGAGGACGAGGAACCCACCCTAGAGAACAGCTTCAGCACCGACACCAGGTGAGTACACCAGCAGCCCAGATCAAATCAGCGACGCGACGCGTACGACTAATATCCCGGATACTTGCATCTTTGCTTATCGACCGCTACTCGTACGTCCTCGGAGGACTGGGATGCCAGGACATAGTGTGCGTGCCGCATGACGCGGAGGACGCTCAGCCTTTTCATCTCCCTCCCCGCGATGATTACGACCTCCCCCACCTCCTACCAGCGCCATCGTCCCACAAGAAACTGCATTAACATAACCTTTTGACGGTCCGCGCGGACTTTTTGGATCTGCGCTGAACCCCCCTTCCCTAGCGCACGGAGCGCGCCAGGGGTGGCGCTAGAAGCGCCGCCAGGGGACTCCACCGCAGATCCAAGAAATCCGCGCGGAGCTCCGAAAGTTTAGGTTTACGCAGTTTTTCGTCCTGCGACCAGCACAAGGCATACAAGCAATAGTTGCGCGGCCTCGTTGGCTTGCCGCTGCTCTTGATACTTTTGTCCGACCGGCTCGACGACTATGGGGCCCGACCGATCCGACGGCAAGCGCCGCGAGCCAACGCCCGTGCATGACGCACGGCGGAGAGGCCCTAACCCCCTCCTCCTCCTCCACCTCCTCCTTTCTCCCCTTGAGACAGAGAGAGAGAGAGAGAGCGAGCGCGAGAATTTGTACATGGACCTCCTCCTCCTCCTCCTCCTCCTCCTCCTATCTCTCTCTGCTTCTCTCTCTCTCTCTCTCTTTCTCAGCAACACCACTCTGTCGAGCACGTCGGTGGGCAGTACGAGTGAGAGCAGCACCACAAGAGTCACGACTACGACCGCTACCAGCAGCACCACTCTGTCGAGCACGCCGGTGGGCAGTACGAGTGAGACCAGGAACACGAGAGTCATGACTACGACCGCTACAAGCAACACCACTCTGTCGAGCACGTCGGTGGGCAGTACGAGTGAGAGCAGCACCACGGGAGTCACGACTACGACCGCTACCAGCAGCACCACTCTGTCGAGCACGTCGGTGGGCAGTACGAGTGAGAGCGGGACCACGAGAGTCACGACTACGACCACTTCCAGCAGCGCTGCTCTGTCGAGCACGTCGGTTGATAGTACGAGTGAGAGCAGCACCACGAGAGTCACAACTAAGATCGCTACCAGAAGCACCACTCTTTCGAGCACCTCGGTGGGCAGTACGGATGGGAGCAGCACCACGAGAGTCACGACAACGTCCGCTACCAGCAGCTCCACTCTGTCGAGCACGTCCGTGGGCAATACGAGTGAGAGCAGAGCCGCAAGAGTCACGACTACGACCACCACCAGCAGCACCACTCGGTCGAAAACGTCGGGGGGCAAACCGAGTGAGAGCAACACCACGAGAATCACGACTACGACCGCTACCAGAAGCACCACTCTGTCGAGCACGTCGGTGGGCAACACGCGTGAGATCAGCACCACGAGAGTCAAAACTACGTCCGCTACCAGAAGCACCACTCTGTCGAGCACGTCGGTGGGCAGTACGAGTGATAGCAGCACCACGAGAGTCACGACAACGACCACTACCAGCAGCTCCACTCTGTCGGGCACGTCGGTGGGCAGGCAGTACGAGTGAGACCAGTACCACGAGAGTCGCGACTACGACCGCTACCAGCAGCACCACTCTGCCGAGCACGTCGGTGGACAGTACGAGTTA